CCCTTGTCCAGTAAAGTTTACTGTTTGGTCCAGGTGGATTGCTCCTAACATTGTAATTTCGAAAATAATCAGGGTACGTGATTTCTTGAAAAGGCTCACTCACCGGTCTTTCAAAATATTTGTCTATGGCGTCATCAAAATAGGGCCTTTCACCATCACCATCACCATCGTCATCTTCACCTTCCTCGCCATTTTCTTGTTCATCGATTTGCATATACACAGGTTTCACCGAACGTATTCGCAATTCAGAGGGGGCTGACGGAAGATACTGAACAGCAGCAGAAGATCTCGTTACAGGGTGCTGCAAAAGCAAGATCATAAGCTCTATTGCGCCCAACCTTCTGGCTTGGACATGCTCCCTGTAGGAACCTCGCTCTTCGATGTTAAAAATCTCAGTAGGTTCGGGTTTGGTCGCATATTTTGTTACGTATTTTCCGAAGCCAAGGGTTGTTATGTATTGGAAATTGACATGTCCCCGCCACATAAAAAGCGTTTCAGGATGGTATGGGACAACCCAACGGTCTTCTTCTCTGGTCCTTCGGTAGGTGTATCTCTTGGAGTTTGGGCTACAATATGTGGAATCTGAGAGGGGTTGGGGGAACCCTTTCCTGCACTGTTGTAGGTTCGTACCTGGACCTCCGCATTTTTCTGGGACGCACCTATGAATCTGAAATGTTGTGACAAGCTGGTGTAGCTCAGGTTCGAGTTCCGGGTGAGGCAGGTCTGCGCGGATCGAGTTATTTGAGATCAAATCTTGTACGTTTAGCTCAGTGTAGGCGAATCCGTGCGTGTGGATGCTCCCTCTGCTCTGAAACTCGTCTCTCTCAAAATAGTGCAACCATTTGCCCCACTTCACAAGTGATGGATCCTTCCAGAGCTTCTTTCGTATGTTTGCCAACTTATTGTGGTAATATAAATATACGTGCAACGGCCTGTTTGTTGGCAGCGGATCCTTATTATCAGTAGTTTCCAAGATTTCTTTCAGGTGCTTCCACTTGTCTTCAGCGGCTGTCATTGTATAGAAAATTTGAGGCAGACCATAAGCTTGAATCATCGTGTTCACTTGGTACTGTTTTTTTCTGAAGAACGGTGCGGATGTTCTGATAGATGAAGGTAGGGTAGTGGTCAGAGATTCATTTATTGTGGGACGATTAGTGTAAACACTTGATGATATTAAGTCTGATCTGGTGGGGTGTAAGTCACGAGAGACATTCCTTTGGTTCAATATCCTGTTCTGGTTTTGATAGTTACGCCTTTTTTCCAGATTCAGATACGAGAAATGTGGCCAGTACCAATGGAGCCTGAACCTTGGATCTGGGCACAACATCCGTAATTTAATATATTTTCCATAGCTATCTGTATGGTGTTTGAAATCTAACAAATTTTTCAGATCTTCGTAGTGCCCACGGCCGGTAGGGAAAAGGTCAGGAAAGAGCAAGGCCTCGATGTCTGGATTGTTGTATTGGATTGGAAGTGCAACATCTTCATTTGAGACAATGAACCCCGCCATCAAGCGTTTGTATCGGTAGTCTTCATCATGAATTTGTGTCGGAAATTCGTCATTGGGGACAATTAGGGATGGTTGTGAAGCGGTTGAGCTCGAGGATTGAGCAACCGGCCTAGCCATTGGCAATGGTTGTGGAAATAGACTGGATGCTAGGGGGCGCATCACAGTGCGGCATTCGTTGTACTGCTTGAATATTGGGTTATTTCGCCTCAGCCATCGGCTTGCGCTTATCAACGATTCATGAAACCAGTGCGGTGGTTCGTTTTGATCTAGGAAAGCCCCGATTAAACCCGAATGCAAACTCAAAGCATGCTTATTTTTCGATAGCCCGATGAAGCCTTGCAAGTGGCGATAGTTTGTGTATCGATTGGACTCGGATGCTCGTCCTAACGAACAACTCATATGAATTGGAGATAGGTGCTTTCGATGCTTCATCGGAACTGCACTGATTTCCTCAGGTATCGTTGCTAGAATGGGTGGAAAACGGCGATTTTTCGTAGATTTACATGATGAACATACAGCAATCTTGGTTCGGCCCCTGTTGTTAATGCGTAAAGGTAATTGAAGGTCAGGAAACGCCATTGTTATGTCATAGGTTTCATCAGGATCGTAATCAACCCATTTAACTGCAGCGCTCATCATCAGAATAGAACAATAAGCACAAGGAATGGATGGATGATCACAAAGTATTTTTTTCTCGAATTCATCTGAGAGTTTCTGAAGCTTTCTTGAAGGACGCCACATTTCGAAAGTTAAGGGAGTTGATGGAAGTAGTTCACGCATTGGCGCATTCTCCAAGTTTTGATTGATTTCACTTCGGTTTGAGTACGTGGAAAGAAATGAGATATTGTCACTAGATTGCTCGGGTTGATTTTCTGGGTCTGGTTGTAGAAAGTGGGAAATAGTGTAATGATCTATTCTATAATTCATGATTTCAAAAAGTTATATTATAATTATGTAGTTACGTGTGGAGAGGCAATTTATTTATTATGTAGTAGTAGTTAAAAAGTTAAGTGTAGACCTTTTTTTTTATAATTAATTAACAAAAAAAATTTTTTTTATTTTGCTAACGGCCATTTTATACATTTTATATCACTCTTTGTTTTGCTTATTTCGAGTAATAAAACAAACGCAACCGCCACGGTTTAAAAACTTTACATATGCAGGCGTTTTCATACTATCTCCCAGATAGGATTTTGGCGCGCAATACAACAGTGACAAACAATTAAGTAAATTGTGGTTTTTTTATTTACTATTTGTTGTTTAATAATATTTTAACAAAAAAAAAGAAAAATGGAAAAAAAAGAATACAATAAAAAAGAAGAAAAAAGAAACAAAAAAAATCATTCAGTGTCAGAACCTTCACAAGATTTTTCCTCGTGAGAATCCATCAATTTCTCAATGTCCTCTTCGCGACCCTTGCCCTTGTCATTAACGACCACGCTCACTGCATCTGCAAATTTGGTCGACCTTGAAACCACCTCTTCTTGCTCTTCGCAATTCGTGGGTGCACCTCTGCTGGTGCTGGACTCTCTGTTATAATCATCATAGTGGTAATTTGCGGGTCTTTTTTTCTGGTTGCCAGAGGCCTTCACGTATTTATCTTCAAAGTCTAAGCGCTTTGACTTCAAATTTTTGCGCCAGGACCCTTTACTTCCTTCATCGGCGGTGGCTTTTTCTACAGACTGGTACGTCCATTCGATATCGGATGCAATAATCTGCACAAGTTTCTTGCCAACGAACAATTCTCCTGCCGTGGAGAAAATAGCTTTGCCATTCGTAGCGTTCGCGACACTGCTATGACGGTTGTTATCTGGGTCATAAAAGCACGGAACATCCATCATTACATGCGTGCTGGTAAACGCATTATAAGTTTTACGTGATAACGTAAAGTAATTCCCACCGTCTTGGCTTCTCGATGGTGTGGAACATGGACCAGTCACTGTACCGAATAAAGGGCTGATCGGTAAATCTTCAATACTCGGCATGTCACCTAGCGTTTTCAAATCAAGGAGTGTTGTCTTGATTAACGTAACCTGAACAAAAGACAAAGGTGACGTTATTTTTTTTATTTTTTTAATAAACAAAAGAGCAAAAGACGGGAAATAATAAACCAAATGACGCTCGCCACACTCACGTATAATTGGGACTCGAAAACATATCTCCCAACGAACAGCATGAATGTGTTCGCTTGGATGGGTTCAAGAAGGCTTCCTTCACCTGATCTAATAAATGCCTTGTACTGGAAATCAAGATACTCCTCATCATCTAATTTGGCTGTTGCTACCCCACTAAGGGCACTGGCTCCACTAACAGATTTGATGAACACAACGGCAGCAAGTATTGCAGACATTTTTATTATTATTATTATTATTATTATTAAGGTGTAAAAGAGGTTATTTTATTTTTAAAAAATGGCAAAAGATTATTTTATTTTTTAGAAAAAACGTAACGGCAAGCGAAAGATTATTTTATTTTTTCAAGATCATGAATCGGGTTATTTTATATAGAAAACATTCGTTTTATCAATATAAATAATAACTTTTCACATATATCGCTAAGTCCTTTGGAAAAATGCAAAGAAGATGCTCTGTTGCCACAATTAAAAAACAGGAACTGGTTCGTTGTTAAAAAACTCCCCTTAACCAAGACTCTTTTGAAAGTGTATAATTAGTGAATAATTTCCTTATTGTTGACAAGAAACTGACCAACAAACAAATAATCGATTCAATTGTCAATTAATTAAATGCAAAATATCTTGTTTTTTGGCTTTTTTTTTAGCAATAAACAAATAAACAATTCAATTGTCAATTAATTAATTAAATGCATAATGCTTTTCTTAAAAAGTTAACAAATAATCAATTCAATTGTCAATTAATTAATTAAATACACAACGTTTTGTTTTTTGGCTTTTTTTTTAGCAATAAATAAATAATCAATTCAATTGTCAATTAATTAAATGCAAAATATCTTTGTTTTTTGGCTTTTTTTTTTAGCAATAAACAAAATAATCAATTCAATTGTCAATTAATTAATTAAACGCATAATGCTTTTCTTAAAAAGTAACAAATAATCAATTCGATTGTCAATTAATTAAATGCATAGTGCTTTATTTTTAGCTTAGTTAAACAATGATGCTTTTCTTATAAAAGCAAAATAAACACAAATCAACAGTATGATCTTCATCACACTAACTAAATATCAAATGAAGAAAAAGATGATTTTGCCACCACCAAAAAGCATTCTTAGTAGAACATATGATAAAATAACAAAGAACAATAATTAATTCAATTGAAATTAAATAGCTCTTCTTAAAATGTAAAATAACAAAATCTATTCTTACTAAACAGTTCTCTTCGATTGGAAAAAGATTTATTTATCATTGCATGATAAACGCTCATCACGTGGAAATAATGGAATTTGTGATTGGTCAATGATGATTAACACATTTAATCAATTTAATCAATCGTGTATATATAAAA